GACTGTCGTGGGTCTGTGTTGCGGTTCGTTTCCAAGGAGTGCGTAGCCATTGCTCTGTCCCCTTTTCTACCCATAGCCAAGATGATAGTTCAACTCCCGCCTTTTCACTACAGTTCGAGACCATCGCTTGAGAGCAAAGCAAATAAATATGTGATCAAATAATTCTGAAGAGTACTTCCAGCTAGGTAGTCTAGTTGTCATTTGTTTTTGCTTTATTCTAAGAATACTACCATGCCTTCCATTATGCTACGTTGTTCTACCTTCATCTGTGTTTGCTTCTGCAATTAGTATGTTTATGTTATCTAACTGGTGAAGTTTCTGTTACAAGCGCACTTTCGAGTGCATACCCTGTGTCAGGACGGTGACGAACGAACTGCTCTGAAAAAGGGTGTACGATCCTCTGCACGAAAGGGCCATTTCTCCCCTATGTACAAAAACTTGATGCCTATTATGCTGTTCACATATTTCACGAGCGAATGAAAGATGAAGTGTTGAAGATGTATGATGATAGCGACAGAAGAACCCCGGCGAGCATAAAAGCATGTTTCCGAACAAGAGTTGCGTGTATATCATGGTAAAGGTTGAAATAAACGCTGCAACGGTCTGAGATGCTTCGATGCAGTTGTTTGGAGAGAAGTATATTATTCAGAGTATATTAGCGCTAGTGACGAGGTATAAATTTTAGAAGAGGTGAAGCCGAGGGCTGCGGTGCTGGTGGTAGGGTGCGTAAAGGAAAGTTTAGTGCGTGCAGGATTTTCGAGCTAACATGTTCCCGAACCGAGGAGGCGTAGAAATGTAAAGGTTGAAGAGTGGAGGAAGTGGCAGTTGTCGAATAAGTAATCCTGAATGGATTGGTGGTGATTTGGTTCTTGCGACCTCCTTTGATGGCGCCGCACTCAGCCCCGAATCTCTGAAAACCCTTTAAAAGGTGTGAAATAGCCCAATTCTTGAGACAAATGGTATTTCATGGCTACTCAACATCTAGTAACCACAAAATCAACTATTTATCTGGTATCTGGTATGCAAGTTTGATTCGTACAAATCTTTTTTTTCTAATCGCTTCTCTTCATTTGTCAACTTTCTACACACTTAATCATGACTTGGGAGCAATGTGATGGTACTTATTTTTTTGCATTCGATTGAAATTACTCTGTACTCAGGTGCGCGATAACTGATGCGCGTTCCTAGGTTTCCACAACCCTTCAAGTGCATTTCGAAGAACATCCTAAACATGGAACTTCCTTGAACGTTCTTAGGTTATAGTTCCCCCCTCTTTGTTAGAGTGCTTTCCCGGGGCAATTTCGCACTCTCTCCAAAGTCCGGTTCATTCATTCGAAAAACACGAACTTCGGATACCAATCTAACATTGGCCAGACGGTACTGGAGCCGCAAAATACTGCGCTTCGGCGTCACTTACCCGACCCACGGCAAAACGAACATTGAGGAGACTCTCCCCTTTCCCACCCGCCGTAATTGTGCTTTGTAGAGAAAATGTGTTTCATTACTAATTGGCAATGTGATACAAAGTCGGTGCTAAGTGGGTTGGGGGGGACCATGCGGCGCGGCACCCTGCCAAAACGGTGTTTAGGGACGTTCCATAGTTTTTATGTTGTAACTGTGTATCTTTCACCTAATTTTAGGAAGGGGGTGGGTGAGCCAATTGGACGTCCAGCTTTTATCTCAACTCAGCTTTTTACACGAGACAACCATCTCACCCACCCCCGGAGCTCCTCCCCTTATTAAAAAATAGGTTTTATCGGCTCAGAAGAAGTGTATCCTTAATATGCAAGCATATTGTTTGTTCTGGATCACGAAACACATCAGTACAAACTTACCATTCCTTCCCAGACTCAGGCCCACTGCTATCTTGCTGGAGAGCGCAGGGTGCCGCAAAGTCTTTCAATACAATTGAATCGTCTTTGTTTTGTTGTGATTCGCAGGCTACCCATAATTTCGCTTGACTTTGTCTGTATTTTTTAGAAAAGTGTTCATGTTATGGTAAAATGGCTACAAGTCCACATAGGAGTGGGCATGAACGCAGGAAACGACTGCGCTTCAAAAAGATCGGAATTGAAAAGAAATTGAAGAAGGGGGACGAAATAAAGGAAATGGAAACGATTGCCATGCGGTGTCAAGGTTTACCGAAAGTGGGTCTCGTTCGAATTGTATAACATATCTGCAATATTTTATTGTTCTGAAGAAGTCTGTTATAATTGTATTGGTAGCACCTCGTTGCCAATATACACGTCTGATGAATTTTATTAGTAGTTAAGAATAAGAAGACAAAACTTCGAAAGTGTTTTCACTTCACGAAAGCATCTCCTGTTGTAGCTTTTCTTTCGATATGCTTCATTGTTCAGTGAACTAGGAAACATTCAGAAACATATGTATCAAAAAAAAAGATGCATATAAGCTCTGCTTTGTGGATCTAAGGATGGACATTTCGAATCCTCCCCATTCAGGCAAGTACATCCACTTTGAGATATTTCTCTGATTTCCCTCTGTCGAGCAGAACGTTTCGTGCTCTCAAAGAACTTGAGTATGAAGAGCCAACAGATATTCAAAAAGAGTCGTTGCCCTTCACACTCAGTGGACTGGACGTTGTGGGCGCGGCAAAAACGGGAAGCGGAAAAACTCTTGCACTTATTTTGCCGGTATGCATACATTTTTATTCCAGCTTTATAAATCGTGCCATATATTCCTCATTTTTTGGAATAGCATTTATGAGGTGGTACTTTTATCACCTAAGCATCAATTATTGCAAGGTACTGGAATCTCTTTGGAGATCGGGATGGTCCAGCTACTGTGGCCTGGGGGCACTAATCATATCTCCCACGAGAGAACTCGCTCTTCAAACCTTCACCATTATAAATCATGTGGGAAAGTATCACGAGTTTTCGTGTGCCCTACTGATTGGGGGTGGGTTTCCTAATTAAAACTATGTATTGTGTTCCTAGTGATAAGTAGAATTTACAGGTACTGATGTTGTGTATGAAAGGAGCCGTGTTGGTAAAGTTAACATTATAATCTGTACCCCTGGTCGGCTGCTGCAACACATGGATGAGAATGAAAATTTTCTTTGCGATCAGCTTTTGATACTGGTACTTGACGAGGCGGATCGAATTTTGGATATGGGTTTCAGCCAACAGGTCCGTTCTAACTCTCCTTCCTTCTTTCTAACTACAGTGTTTATGCTTATTTCACACTTACTTAATCTCTTTATTGGAATCTTAGTTTGATGTTGAGTATTTCGAGAGTACTGTTTTTTGCTATAAAGATTAATGCTATCGTTGCCAATTTACCTCGAGAACGCCAGACTTTGCTGTTTTCCGCCACTCAAACGCGAAATGTAAAGGACTTGAGTCGTGTCTGTACCAGGGTATGCTATGAAGAGTTCATTTTGTCTGTTCAAGATTCTTTGAAAATTGTTTCTCGCCGTTTCAGGATCCGGTGTTCGTATCAGCGCATGAACATTGTGCACATGTCACACCTGATCGTTTAGTACAGTATTATATAATATGTGAGGACCATGATAAACTCAATACGTTGTGGTCTTTCATTATCAATAATAAGAAGTCCAAAGTTATTGTATTTGTTTCTAGTTGCAAACAGGTTAGTTCTATGTTAATTAACACACGTGTTTAAATTCAAGAAGTAATTCTGTATGAATCTTACTCGTTTTACCTAAATGTAACTGATTTGGGCCTCAACATATCCATTGATGATCAGCACCCAGGTTGGCGACAGAGTTATATTGAATGAATGATAATTGAGCAAGTTGTTTTCTTGAAAAAAAGTTTGTTTGGTTGGGTATGGGTACATTCACCCAGAACTGGATGGACGCGGCAAATCGCGCGACGAAATTAGTGGCGATCGATCAGTGCGATCATCTGTCCATACTAATGTACTCTACTTCAAGTTTGCGCCTCAATGATAGTTGCCAAAGTCGTCCTAAACGCCACGAGTCTCTCCGCGCCCTTTACCGCGCACATCCAGATCTGGGTGAATGTTCCGTCCCCCGTTTGGTTCAGGGCAGTGATACTGAGTGAGGACGGATGTAAGCTCATCTAGGACCCTCACCCAGAAAGAACGCGAACATGATCCCTGTCAAGGCAAATCATGCCTAACAAAAACTGCAAATATGTTGTAGGTGCCAGCGTCGGGTCCAGGTTGACCGGCCGGCTGATGGATAAACTCAGTCACAAAAAACACGTGTTGGGTCACAGAACCCGTGATAAAGCTAGGGAGGCCCGAGTGCCGGCCCGAGTATACGAGGGCCACCGAGGATTGAACGACCTGTCACGAAGAAGTTAGTTCGAATAGGGCTCTGAACGTGGGATCGCTTACTTGGGAAGTCTCGAAAGCTTACTGATTCAATGAGACGCAGAAAGATCCGTGTCCCATGATTTCAGTGGACATGCTGGAAAAGAGCAAAGCCAGAGAAATTTGAGAAAATGTCAAACTCTACTGAAATGGAAAAGGCACCAAAATAAGTGATGTGGCCATAGCAATTTCAGAGTCTCTCAAAGACTCTCTCTCAGCTGTCAAAAGAATTACTGGTCAAATCGTGGCGCTAAGAAAAGATGCGAGAGAGCTATCGGACAATAATACACATGTACGCACCGCAAGCACGTCCCGAATTCTGATGGTGGCGCAATTTGCCAGAAAGGGTCAACACCTGACAATTTGCACCACCTTTACGAAAAGGAAAGGCCAGAAGGTAACATACAGCATTGGAGGGAAAGCGACTAAAGTAAATAACGTGCTCTAAGAAGCTCATCCCTCAAACTGTATAGGACATAAAAGTGTTGCCTAGCGAAGATCTAGCTTCACAGAATAGCCTGTCCTAGCAGACAGTCATCGACACAGCTTTCCCAAAAAATTAGAAACACAAACGGATGAAGGATCTTGTGGTGAGAGTTGCACCGAGCTGTAAAGAACATCTCAAACAGAAAATATCTGGAACTGGGCTTCCATATTCCGAAGGGTCATTCTAGCAAGCCAGGAGCAAAGTCGCGAAAGTCATCCTATGGCACGAAGTGGAAACACTGGATTAGGCTGAAAGAGGTTAAAAGGAGACAGGGAAGAGTGGTTCTGGTGCGTAATATTCAGCGGGTTTGCGAAGCAGAAAAAGTCGCCTGCAAAGGACGCGAGCTCAGGCCTAGCTGCCCGTAAAACTCCCTAGAGGCTTGTCGAGGGTGCCGTAGCGAAGGGGTGGAAACACTTTGACAGGCTAAGGACGAGGTGTCTAACCGTAAGAATAGGGCGACGGCACGAACTCTCGACAGAGAACGAGGTGCGCAGAGAAATAGGAAAAATGAAGGGTAGGAAGGCAACTGGTTCAGATGGAGTACCGATCAAGGCATAAAATACGCTCGATATGTTTGAGATAGAAAGGCTCTGCCGATTTCTGAACACTGTGATCACTGAAGGAGGAATCCCAGATGCGTGGAGGAGCAGTACTATCTTCTCATGTAAAAACGGAAGGGAAACGCGATGGAGCGTTCAAACCTCCGGTTGAATGCTCACACAATGGAAAGCAGTTGGTCGACTAAATTGAGCAATCTGGCCCCGATCTCACGGTGCAAATTGACTTTATGCCAGGAAGGTGTACAACGAGTGCCATCCTCATTGCAGAGAAGTAAAAGGTAAATATCGGGAAAAGCGTAGATCCTATCACCAAGGCCTCCTCGATCTAGGAAAGGCATTCGACCGTTCCTGCGACAAAACCTTCAAAGCGCCCTTCGAGAACGAAATGTCTCAGAACACATGATTCCTGGTCAAAGGCAAGTCCGATAAATACGATGGCTCCAAAACAACACGGTCTGAGTGAGTAGTGGCCGTCAAGGTTGATGTACAACAGAGATCAGCTCTGAGCCCGTTCCTCTTCCTGCTTAAATGGACTTCATAATACAAGGAATTACGGATGGATCATCAAAGACCACCCTCTAGCTGATGGCATCTCTCATAGCGGCGAGTCGAGAAGAACTCCAGGGAAAGCCGCAGAAATGGCAGAAAGTGCTGACGTAGAATGGGCTCAGACTGTTCGTGAAGAAGACCAAGTTCTCCATCTCCGACGAAGGCCCGGAGACATTCTCAGACGGGCGCTATGAAACCATCGAAGGAGTAAAAGGCTTCCTGATGATGGTCTAGCCGCTGATCTTAGCGTGCCGTAAAAGCGTGGCATCGATCAAGTGGAAGGAGTCCATGGTTACCCTCTGCGACCGTCGGTGCTACAGGACGCCTAAAGGAAAAGTGTATCGAACATCGTAAGGCCCGCGATGCTCTATGTAGCGACTGTTGGCCCGTACGTAAAAACCGTGAAGTACAGTTCCATTCCGCTGAAATGAAAATGCTTAGATGGGCCTGCGGTTGCCGTTGGACGCGAATTGACCGGATCAGGAACGAAGACGTTATTATTGCAGCTATGCAAACAGCCCCTTCGAGCTGAAGATGAGGGAGTAGCACCTGTGATGGAAGAGAGGCAATGGAATTCGAAGCTCAGGCTGAACAACGACGGAAAGTTTGAAAAAGATGTAGCAGGACGTAATTAAGGAGGACTTTGTTCAAGCTGCAGTAAAGGAGAAAGATGCTGTAGAAAGAAAGAATCGGGACGGGTGACAAGTACGGAGCTCCTGTGACGAATAACGTTAGGGAGAAAAGTAGAGGTCTATTCGGTTTTATACTATCGGCGCCGGCGCCAGCAGTCGATCGATGTGCCGCAGGTCTGTGGTTTTGCTTCGTCAATAAGTTTTAGGTTGGAAATGCGTATTTACCTTGCTCCTTTTTGTATAATACCTATTAGCAGATACTAAATACATTCTCTCTTAGTAGTTTCCGTTCGTTCATCTCTGCTTCTTTGCTTTCCGGACCATCCTTTTTTGTTCTTTTTTTTTTACTCAAAGTTAACCGTAAATGTCAGGATATTTTCAAAGTCATCCTCATCTTACTGCAACAACACATCTTTTTTCTTATCTCACTGCATTGCGACCCACCATGTGTTTTATCCCAGCTTTTAAGGCGGGTGGAACGTACTCGAAAGGGTTATGTAATAATTGTGATCAGAAGTAGTTAGGCTCATTAGTTAGCTCATTGTCTCAATAGGGATAGGAAAAAATGGCTGGTCGAGTTATTTCATTACGACTATCTTGTTTTAAAATATATTTCAGGCTCGTTTTTTAACTGAAGCTTTCTGTCATCTCCGTCCTGGTCTGCCTGTGATGGGATTGTGGGGTACTATGAATCAAAAGAAACGTGTCGAAGTGTTTCAAAAGTTTGAGGATAAGGAGGTCTCATAATTTTCAGACTTGTTCTCTCTTGCTCTTTATTCGTGCATGTACCGCTGGTGTTGTAAATGTTATAATCCATTGTCAGTCATCATTGAACCTTCCCTTTCTTGAGGCAGCCGTCATGTTCGCAACTGATGTTGCTAGTCGTGGCCTCGACTTTTCCGACGTGAATTGGGTCCTTCAAGTGGACTGCCCCGCTAGTGTACAAGACTATATTCATAGGTATTAGTTGTTTTTGTCGTTTCTGTGCCTAGTACTCATGCTTTCATTCAGGGTTGGCCGAACAGCTCGGTTAAATCAGACTGGGCATGCTGTCCTTTTCTTGACCTCGTTCCAAAAAGGACCCATGGTTACAGCACTAAATCAAGCCAACATACCTTTAACAAAGCAAGTGTAGGTGTTGCAGCTGTATAATAATATTGCAGTGTCGTATATAAGTTGTTCTAAAATGTTCCCAGAAAGAGTAAAATTCAGTGCAGATCCGAGAGCACTGGTTGATGTACGGGCAAAGATGCAGGCGATACTCTCTCAATTCCCTGAACTTAAACAGTTTGCCCAAAAGGTATTTGATTCTTCCCAGTTATTCCACTTTTTGAAAGGGCTGAGTATTGACTTGTATACTTGAAGCAAAAACCCGCACAGGATAGCATCATGACCTACTGTGTTCATGTTTTAGCAGCAGAAGTGTTTTTTTTTTTGCTGTGAAGTTTTCTTCTTCCAGAGTATTGTTGCATATCTTCGAAGTGTCTTTATGATGCATAACAAAAAAGTCTTCGATGTTAGCACCATTGATGCCGCTGCGCTAGCCGCATCATATGGACTTATTACTGTGCCCAGAGTACGGTTCCTAAGCAAAAGAAGGATGATGCTTAAGGTAGTGAAGTGTAATAAGAGTTTTTTTTTCATCTTTTTGGCGTGAATGAGGGTTCTTTTCGTTCTTGCGATCATCATTCCCGTGCTGGTTTGTTGGAGAGCATTTTTCCTTTCCGAATCGCCATCCTAGAGTTATCAAAAGTCCACGCAGGTGGAATAAGATGTCGAAATACTAACTCGATATTTGCTCAAAATTCGATAACCTTCTGATGGTTATGTTCAGTATTTTTAACGTCAATTCATGTTAATTTGATAAATACTCAGGATAATGGAGTTGCTGGTGAGAAAAAGTCAACAGTATCTTGGCCCACAAAGGAAGTTACGGAGGAGAAGGTACTAACTTTTTATCATGAACTTCAAAAGTGGTTTTGTGCCTTTGTCAGCAATTTGCTTTTTTGTTTTGGAAGCAAATGATCTCTCCGAAAATTTTGGAGCATTCTAGCAACGAATACCAATAGAAGGTTTCGGCGTGGACGAGAGGAATGATGACATTTTGATAGTAAAGAAGAAAGATGTGTTTGATCTGCTGAAGGACCAATATCCAGCCCCGGTGAGCTTGTGATCCGTTCATATTGGTTACTCAATGTCTGACGCTACAAGTGATATTCCTCTTGTAACACTTTGAGAGGGTTTTCTTTTCTCTACTTTTTTCTGTTGATGTCTTTTCAGAACGATGCTGTCGAGAAAAAAACGAACTCGAAGGTTGTTACGAAGATAAGCTCTGCCAAAAAGCTGTTGAATAAAAAATTGAAAGTTAACACAAGAAAGGTGTATGATGAGAATGGAGAAGTTATTAAGGTGCTGTCGGTTTCATGTATCTTAGTTCTCTTGTTGCTTTTAGTCACCTAATTATTACTACCAGGTGGATGGCGTGGTGGATTTAAGTGAGAGTGCTGGACTTGATCTCGCTCTGGCCAAAGAAGCTATGAAGAAAACCAGCGTGGTATAATTCTCCCCGTTTATTCATTGTTTCTTCGAATGAATGACTGCTGATTTTTGTCACATTTCTTCCCCCTAATCTTTTTGTGTTTCGCATTTCTTTGGCTCAGGCAGCGTTTCGTATTACAGGAAGATCGCGTGCGGCAAAAGGCGTTGTTCAAAAAGAAGAAAAAGGAAGAGTTAGAGCGAAAACGAAAGAGATGGTTGAATAAGTAAGCGCAAACAACTTTGTTGGTATGAAAGCAGTAATGGATTATTTATAGAGGAGAAGACCTGGACTTGTGCGAAGAAGATAATGGAGTTGGCAGCGAGGTGGATTTGTCGTTTTTGCCAGATCCCGACGAAGTGCGAAGAAGATATGGAAAACCAGGTTAGTCTTTACATTTGGAGAAGTAGAGAACAAATCGAGGGTGAAGGGTAAAGTTTGGCGTTAATCTATCCCGTATGAGGGATGCGCCCCTAACTCGACTTCCACTCAGAATCGTTGTGACGTAGTGAGTGCATATAGGCCTATACAATGACTTGTGGTGGCCAGCCGATGTACAAGTCAGTGCTTTTATCCTCCCAGACTAGTCTGGTACTAATTAACCGACTGCGGAGACATGGAAGGCTTGATTGGCCCAGGCTGGTATCGATCCGGAGTTGGAACTCCCGACCGTGCGTGTGAGATAGTGCGCCTCGTGCCACTACACTACACCTCTCTCTCTTTATGTAGAGAACAAATATGGGAAAAAGGGAGCAGGTTAAAACCAGTGAGGCATGTAAAAACAATAAACATACATAACAAAGCTGTAAAATAGTTAAATTGAAGTGGAAATAGATTGCCCCGCCATTTCTTGCGCCAGACACTCGTTTCCGCCTTTTTAGGAGTATAAGCGAGGCTCCCTGATAAAAGAGTAGGGGAAAGGTATGACTATCAAGGTAAAAAGTTGAAGGAAAGTAAGAATGAAGAGATATATTTTTTTTCTACATCCATTTCTCAAGAATATACAATCAACCGAATTTAACTCTGTGATAAATCCTTCTATCACAAAACGTCTGTTGGCAGTTCGTATTGTTCCAGTATAGATAGTAGAAGCCTCGTCAGCGCATCAGGAACGTTAGTATGTTTATTATATAAACCCTTTTTCCTCAAGAACTGTTTCATCGTTGAAACGCCGATCTTATTCTTAGTAGTACCTATATATGTTCGATTCCACTTGTTGCTACTTCGATCATCCCGATTTTATTTTGAACTTGTGGGTATTTCTATGAATTAAATCTATTTCTGTGAATCAATTCGAAACTGTTCTTCAAGATATGATGACTTGTTTGATTAGGGATTATTGGGAGATGTGTACATGTCATAGTCATGATAATAATCGTTTTCAACACTGAGCTACAAAGCCTAGAAGTCGCTTCATTTTAACTAATTTCGATCAGGTCAAATGTCGGGACCCTAGAGCTCACTTACTTCTTGGTAACCAGAATGGTCAATTTCTTAATCTTTTGAACACTCCATTCGGAGTTGATTTCGATTTATCTTCAGAAGGGGATAGTGAAGACGCGATCATGAAAACTCCTGCTTCACTGCGAAAACGTCGAAAACAAAGAAAGGCGGTAACTGACACCGAGAAACAAGCACTGGATCTTTTCAATCCATTTGAAGGTGATTAGAATGATTGTTGTTTTTTGTACCTCGATGTTTCTTCGAACTTGTTATTCTGTGGCATAGTTACAATCGTTATTGTTGCTTCGATGAGAAATAAATTTCCTTCATTTCGCTTTTTTACATTTTCAGCGGTTCAATACCAACAGATAAATCTTGTTGTTCGTTTGAAAATACGGTCATTTGTAATGCATCTCGTTTTCTTTTTTTTTTTTTGGATGGCGACGTCTTATATACCAGCGGGTAGGGTGTTCATGAATGAGTTTTGTCGAAAGGCTGATGATGATGTCATTTACTGGAAGCGAATGCAGGTAAATCAAACTTTTTTACAGAGCTCTGCCGTAATCTATTGCATCTGATAAATTGTATAATCTTCGTTACCGGAAAAAGTTATTTTTAGCAACTCGCGGTCTTCCAAGAACCTGCGTCGGTTTCCTCAATCGCCTTCAGCCCTAACAAACCCTACAATGTCGCATCAACAAGTTCAGTCAGGCTCTCACTATACGATACCGTCGTTTGTGAACCAATCAATATGTTCAGCAGGTACTTACCCGAATTTCCTCCGTCCTTTTTTTGGTTTTCTTCCAATCGTTCAACGGATTGCATGTTGAAGGTTCAAACGTGCGGTTTGTGGTGTAAAGTTTCGCCGTGATGGAGAACTGCTAGGTGGTTTTTGAGATTCCTTAGCAATGTGGTATATTTGATTTAGATCTCTCTTTTTTATATCGCTTAGTGCAAATTTAATGCACACGATTTACAGCAGTAGGTGGAGAGGAAGGCAAAGCTCGGATATTTGATCTGACCCAGTCTAGTGTTATAAGGAAGGTGTGTACTGTTTTTAAACTGTTTTTTTTGTAGGACATTTTTATTTTTTATAACATCGAGCACTCTGTCTTGCTCAAACGAGCGAGAAATCCCAAGGTAATTTGTGTTTCAGGCACCATTACGTAGCATCAACGCTAGTCAGGCAACTATTCATTGTGTGGAATTCTCACCTTGCGGTAGAATGCTGTATACGATGGCTAGTGATGGGAGAGTTAAACATTGGGATATTTCCGATACGGGGTAATTTTTTGAACACAGTTTCTAAACTAAACTTTCGAGCAAAACCTCATTATGACTGAATATTTCCAAAACAAAAAACCGTGCAGTATTTATTCAAGAACTAAATTATTATACTTCGAGGGTTAATTGGGTTTCGGATTAGACGCCGTTTTTCCGTACAACTTATGTTGTAAGCATTTTTCATATTTAATTTAGACTAATACCCATTCTATTCTATTATATTTGTTCGACCAAAATTAAATTTGCTCTTTTTGGCATCTTAACTTTCTCACAAGATCTCGACTGCGTCATCTCGGCATGCAGAACAAAGTAGCAAATTTGAAGAATGCTACTCAAATGCCAGTAAACGATTTTTAGGTAGGCGCGTTATTGATAGGTATCAGAAATTCGGAAAACATTAATTAAGAAAAGTAATGCAACTTTGTACTAAGCTCGTTCATAGTACCAGTGTTCTGATGCATCTGTATTCTGACGCATGTCTTGCGGGTGAGGAGGATCGCAGCTTCTTTCACTCGTTTTTCTCACCAAATCCGTTCCTTCTACTTTTGTTTTGGATTACAAACTTAATAAGGAACTTTGTTCAGAGCGGCAGCGGTATGTGATTACGCTGCCCATCAAGACGAAATTCGAACAAGTGCAGTATCTACTTTGAATCACAACTTAATATTAACAGGTGGATATGATCATAAGGTCTGTTTTATCAAACCTTAAGGGAAGATAAGGAAAGATTTCAGGATGTTTCGTTCTGTCTCATTATTTGCAGGTCAAATTATGGGACTCGCGCTGTCTAAGAGATGGCCCAAGCGTGGAGATGGATGCAGGCTTCCCAGTAGAAAACGCCATTTTTTTGAATAGTGAGCATCTTGTGGCGACAGCGGCCGGACCTTTAGTTAAGTAAGGCTTGGAAAACAATAATTTTTGATGTGGCTAAATTTAACCTTGCTAACTGTTGAATTTAGAGTTTGGGATGTGACTGTCGGTGGACGGTTACTTATGCCGCTTCAGCAGCATAACAAAAGTGTGACGTCTCTATGCCTTGGTGCTGATGGTGATATTCTTCTAACGGGTGGTCTTGACCGACAAGTCAACGTTATTCGTGTTCTCGACTTTTCATTGGTTTGTTTTGTACTTTCGCGGAGGCAGTTTCTTGATATGCTGAAAGGAATCCTTCCTTCTCCAACAAGTTGGAGATCTCCATTTTGCCCTTCAGGAACTTGTGAAGGATGCGAGAATAGAGGATATAGAAGCACCGTGCCTGTAATCCTTGAATCGAGAACAACATACTTTTTTCATAATACTCTCTTCTTATCTCGAGTTTTTACTTTATCCATCAGAGCCGTTCTTTTGAAGGTTAAAAAGCCCTGCAATTATTCAGTATCATCTGGGCGTCATATACCTCTAACGGGGCGGACGCAACTTGCCTGAACCTCATTCGAATTTTATCAAAGGTTCTCAAATGGCGGCAAGACACGAGTTGGAACATACCCTAATTCCTCATCATTGCATTTTTGTATTTGTTCCAAAAACGTCTTTTCCAAATTTTTGCCCTGGTGTTGTTAGTGGAACTTTCTAGGTACTACTCAGAGTGAATTTCGTATTTTAAACGGGGGCCTGTAACCAATAGGACCTAAGTCGAAGATTTTTAGCGGAGGGCAAATTTTTGCCTGTTCTGCAGTTTCCATATTCAAGTACTTGTGGTTATAGCTACATTCGATGCCCATGGCATCATCTGTATTGGCCCTGGCTATGTCTCCTGATGACCAAACTATGGCTGTTGGGATGGGACATTTGCTTGCTATACATCGTCGGGCTCCAGAGTCGAAAGTGAGTATTTCAGCCCTGAAGAACTTCAATGTGCTAACTGCTTTATCCGGGGTGTTCAGGCTATTGTTTCTGCTCAAACTGTCGACAAGCGCGCTATGATTCGCACTGCTGCACCAAAGGTGCAAATGCAGGAGGCAGGAAAATCAAAAGAAAGTGTGGAGATCAAAGCGAAGTCCAGTGACATGGTATTTTAGTTGTCCACTGACAGAGTGGTGATTTCACATGAAACTTTTCTTTATATATAGCATCGACTGTCGAAGGTCGACACGTTACTAAGGGGATATCAGCACGCAGCGGCCATCAGAAAAATGTTCCATTGTAAGCGCTTGCTTGTACTAAGTAGTTTGGCAATAATCTTGATTTTTCTTATTGCAGCGTATTTTTTCCACAGCAGAAAGGAAGAAGTTGTTGCATGGCTGTTAGTAATTCTACGACGAGGAGCCATACATCGAGCGATTGCTGGTCAAGAGAATAACGTTCTATGCAACATGTTAAAGTGAGTGTGCTACTATGCTTCCTACTAAATGTGAAACTTCTTCTTTACTTGCCCTCCACGAAAAAGCTATCTGGAAAGTGAGCTCAAAAGACATCGGAATGGATGGTGTAAATCACTATATAAAGAACACATTAGACGAATTGGACAAGCTAGCCTGCAGTGGTTGGCGCGTACTTCAAATAGTTCATGATTTTGCAAAAGAATTTGGCTTTAGTACAAGCTCAAAACTGTGCTGAACTTGATGAAGATTAGCAGTACCTCTTCCAGAAATTTTTGGAGTGTTGTGAGCTACACAAAGAAAGTCTAGCTCCCCCTTCTTGAAGTAATTCTTTTCGAAAATTTCCTTTTACGGAAGATTGGTAAATCTGGAAGGTTTTAAGTCCAGCATCCAATTAGCAATACAGCTATTTTTAGACTCTGAATGCTGAAAATGAAACTTTGGAACTATTGCTTTTGGATTCAGTAGTTCATTTGTTCCGCCGTTCAGAGGAATTCGACTGGCAAAGGAACTCCGGGGGAAAGAGTAATATCGATGAGCGGAAAGAAACTCAACACGATGACTCAACAACTAGAATACAGTGGCTGGAAACCATAGACGCACTATTTGGCTCTTATCGGCACTTTGCCAATGGGTACTTTCAAAATCTTTGGATTTTTTCGAAAGCACAGGAGACGTGCAAGCAGCCATATGAGTCATTTGATTAAACGTCTGCGTGAATCCTCGCAATGGAAGTTTTTGTACAGCGATCCATCATCGAGAAGCTGCTCAAAGAAGGTCGCAGGAGTTGGAACGTAGCGGAGCGACTCGGCGTTCCCTCTTCAACAGTTCGAGATGTCTCTGCTGCACTCAGGACTCGAGGACTTACCTCTGAGATGCCAAGAAATGGACGACCGAGAAGAGTGAGCCTACTAAGGATTAAGGACATTAACAAGAAGAGAATCACCTGCAACGATGGAGTCTGCACGAATCGGATTGTTTCTCACCCCAACGTCAGCCTCCAAACCGTTTAAAAGATAGTGAAATGTTGCCTGAAGCTGTACAGTTATCGGCTCTGTCGAGGACAGTTTCTTCCCGAGCAGTCCAAACAAAGTCGGTTGATGAAACGTTGCGTTCGAGAAAACATCGAGATCTCAGGGCGCGTCGCATCTCTGACGTGATCTGGACTGATGAGAAGTTCTCAAGTAGACTTTTTCGAACCGTTTTAACCAGAGACATTTGCCAAAAACTGATGATGTGTCTTTGAAATGTCGACCTGTGCATAGCCGACTATCTCCCGAAAGTGATTATTTGTTTACCAAAAGGCACTTTTAATGAACGCCCGTTCAATGAGTGTTAATCTAAGCATTGAGCACTTCGATGATCGATCGTTCGTCCTTCAACATGTCTCAAAATCGATGAAAGCCGTAGTCGCTGTGCACTTCTCCGAGTACTGTGGCGAAAACTTCAGACCTTCCCCTTCGCCAGATCTCCATTCAATGGACTTCACTGTGTAGGGGCTTTTGAAGGACAAGTTCAAAAGACGCTCCTACCACTCGTTGGACGCTCTGGCGTTTTTGCTCCAGAGAGCATGCGACGATATCGACGTAAAGTACCAGTTGCGCACTGTTGGTAAAGATATCGAGCGCCGGGACGCCTGAAGAGCGAAAGGACCGAAATTCGATTGTCTCCTGCCCTGAGTGCTCTAATACTGAGTGTCATACAGCTCTACTCTAATCCTCAAGGAAGTAGTTTGGTCTAACTGTCCCATATCTTCAAACTTACACTTACAAATGTGGTGTCTTATACTGTAGAGCCACTCTGTAGATTTACCGTTACTCCAAGTTGTTGCTGGCTTTTTTACTTCTCGATTTCAGTTATTACATATTCGATTTCTTCAGGTTGACGAGTAAGATCTTGTTTGTAGTATTTCTAGATATTGACCCTACAAAACAGTCTGGCAGCTCTTAAGATTGGGAATATTTTCTCGGAAACCATAGAAGCAAAAAATGAGCATGCTGATTGCTCGTGGTATTGTGCTATAATCACGACGGTTTTTTTTTCTATACAAGCCAGGAAAAGGTTCTACTGAAGGATCCGTCAAATTGATTCAATAAAAAAAATAAAGTATAAAATGGAATCTATGCTAAATAGAAGAATTTTTGAGAATGCAGGTTCATCCATGCGCAGCTGTTTCGTGGGAATCATTTTGACGTCCTCAACCGTGTCGTTGATGCTTTTTTCGGTAAGTAGCTTCAGCATCAATATTAACCTGGAAACTTATTTCCATGATGTTCTCAATTTGAAATTTAATCAGTTATTAGTTCTAATTTACATTTTTTCGCCTTCGTTTTTCGGAAACTTCGTTTAGCCTACATTTTGAACTCTACGCGGACGTCAGACATTGTTACGCTCTCCATTTCAGAAGTGTATGGTAATGAAGAACTGGATTCCAAAGTTGCAAAGTTAGCGCTCAGCCTAAAAACAGCCGTTGCAAGAGAGCTAGTAGTACAAAAGCAGGTAGTTCACGCGATCCGATTTCATTTCCCATCTTTTGGATATTATAATGGGAGAAAGTGTGTTCAAAACTGGTGCTGGGAATTTGTAAGTTTTTTTAAGAGACCAATCGAATTTTATTAATATGACTACGATATGTGTTCGCGCATTTATTTATTTATTTACTTTTTATTAATTTGCATGCGCAAGCACATGTCTAAAAAAGTGAAAGTGAAATATAAAGATGAATAGCAAATCAAGTAGAATTTACAAAAATATGAGAATACTCCAATAGTAGTAACTATGGTATGTGGAATTGTAAAAGAAGACGGGGAATTAAATGGGTTCTAAACAAAAAGAACGCAGTTGATCGCTGGTAAGAATTTCTCCAGTCAAGATAACGATGTACAATTTTTTTCAAAACAACATGGAACCCGCTTCTTTTTAGACAATCTTAAGTATTCATAACCAGCCGTGAATGTGAAAGAGCTGGCTGCGTCGCAAAACGGGCTTATGTTGCTGAACACATTATTGAACCTTTGGTCTACAATAGAAGACGGGTTTAGGAGAAAAAAGTCATGTAATGAAGTATTTTATAAACCATGAGAAGTTCATTACCTTTTTTTACCACTAAGGGATTTGAGCTTTATTATCTTACACCGCATCGCAACACGGGAGATACTACTATAGGTCAAAGCAAGAGAACGAATAAAAAGACTTTTCTTGTGAAGTTATGCTGGACTCTTTCTAAACTATCGGTTCTTCGTGCAGGGAAGGAAACACATGTACCATATTCTAGCATAGCTCTCACATGACTTATAGGCTTCAATAAGAGGGGTGGGATCGATAGAACAAAAACACTTGAACAGCTAAGAAGGCCTTACCTCAGCATTGTTGGCGATAAAACGACCACTTTTATCAGAGTTCTTTTATCAAAGTTTTATAAAGCCTTGGTCTTGTCCAGAGGTTCGCCACACAAATAGTACACCATGGGAGTGTTGTTACGACCATTTTGATTTTCATGCCGATAGATTAGGAGTTTCCAACAAGAAGACCATTGAAGTACTGCATCAACTGTGGCCCGCAAGGCAAGGGGAAATTGGGCTTGCCAAATATCCGTCTGCAAACTTTTTGCATTTGTTCCATCACCACCAACATCCCCAGGCAGATCTTACACATAAATACTGAACAATAAAGGAGACAAAACACCTTGAGTGGTTTCAGAACCTGCACTTCCAACAGTAGTCCCTTCATCAACATTGACCTGAAAGTGCGCTGAAATAGCTGAAGGCTACTGATCCAACTGGTGGTCCTAGAGTGGATACGAACGTGCTCCAATTTTCGAATTTCAAATTTTATTACATGCAGCACACATGTAATAGAGCAAAACATTGTAAGAAGGATCAACAGATTAAAAAGAACCTTCTCAAATGTTTTTGGAAGTCCATATGCATACCATAGATGCTTTGTGTAGAATCCATAGCGGTAGTCCATTCATTGAGGAATTCGAACATTAGTATTTCAGTGGATTTACCTCTTCTAAACCCATGCTGGCAACGAGGCAAAACATCATATTCCTTTAGGTGAAATTCAGTTCTCTTTCAATAATTTTCACAATTCGGCAGAGCAGGGATGAGATGCTAATAGGCCCGTGACTACGAGGAATAGCATCTTCATCAGCGGAATAACAAGGGCATGCCTTCACCTTATGAGAACTTCAGCACGAAAAATATCAAATTAAAGAGATATTCAAGGGAGGGAATGCGTACAGAGAACAGTTTGATAAACTCGAAAGGGATACCTGGTAGAGGAACGAGTTAGGCACCCAGAAAGTAATGAGTAATTTCATGACGTGCAAACCAAACCGAATCTTTGGAAAACGCATACCCTGTGCTTGTTGAATGCGTTACTTCTAATGTCTATTCCAAGGACAAGTAGTAATGTGGCCATTCACCTCGGGCGGGAATCAACATTAACATTCTTTTAAGATTCCTCCATGCTGCTAAAAAAAAGTTAACTATTAATATCCCTTCAACAACGATAGAAATAACTAGATGAGAGTGTTGTGCCGATCGAAGTAACCTTTTTAGGGTGATAGTATTTGCATTCCAGCTTGCTAAAACTTTGGGCGCTCTGGAGTCAATTATAAATGGTGCACGTGTAACTTCAGTTCGTCACGAGGCTCCGCAGGTCCTTCTTTAGGAGCCACTACTACACGCATTTCTTAACATTTTGATTTTACAATTTTGTTATAATCAAGCTGTTTCAGAGGAGACAAACGCTGGCTGAAAATGGCCTCAAGGAGTTATCCACAAAAAACGGTGATCCTTTTGGTTTGTTCGGTGAGCCGGCATTGGGCTCTGTCACCCTAGATTTACTTGACACGAGAGGATAAATACTACGTGTATTTGCATATTCTTTATTTCTGATTGAGAGTGTTCATCCAAGTGTATCCACGAGGGGTTTACATGACGCTTTTCCACTTTAGTTTTGGAATTATAGTAGGTGCTGTTTGAACAGGATTTTATATGTATTGTGATTGATGAGAGATGTACAGACGTTAACGAGGTTTTAAGTAGCCTCGTGCACAGAAATAGACATTTTTATTACTTGGTTGATAAGATTAGAACATTTATCTGTTATGAAAATTCATCCACCTAGCTGCAGCTTGAAGTATTGAATTTTAGAACAGAATATCGTGTGTTATTACTTTCCGCTCTTCTATTCTTATATATTTTTATAGACCATTTGTTGTTTCTGTGACAGAACACCTCGTTTTTATTTGTTTTCTATAGTTATCTTGTTGATTCTCTATCCTTGTGTTCCATAAGCTTGTTATTGTTACAGCTGTTTCGTTGTTACAGCTATGAAATTTTTGTTATTACTGTCATTTGTGAAAAACTCAGGGTTCATGATATATTTTGGTACTGAATTTTAAAGTAGATTTAGCTAGTGCAGAAGTGATTATTATCAGTGCTAGGTTACTAACAAGTGGTACCTAAACTACTGCCATACATGTGATACCTTGACGTTTTTTTTCCATTCTAAAGGGTGTTGACTTCGAGGAGGTCGAATTTTTTAGGCAGCCATGAGTGAACGCATAATGTGCGCTTGGTGTTCAATCGGAAATACTTCTCCCATTGCGGCTATCGTACATTAGCTGTATTGAAGGAGGATCCGATGTTGATGACGAGGTACGAGTTCGGTTTCATGTTGTATGAGGTGACTTTCACGTTCTTCCCCGTTCTTTTCGCCATAGACGCAAGGTAGTCTTGTAGCGCCTGCGCGGTCGTAACTCCTTTTACGAATTAACTGTTTCTTATAGGGTCTAATATTGTGTAAGGACCACAATGTTCCCTTTGATTTTTGTAACTCTCTTATTTATAAAGCAGCAACTTGATGAGAGGGTTTGTCTGTCTGTCCGTCCGTGATTACGATAAAGGTAGTGATATGGAGAATCCAGCTCTATTCTTCATTTCTTTTTATGGCACTATTTACCCTTTACTGCCCCACTTTAACAGGAATGGGCTTGATTTCTATCGAATTTTTTTCAAGAAGATGAAACCAACTAGAAACTTGCCTAGAGGGGTAATTTGACCCGTAGAGCGCGAATATCGCATC